TTGACTTCCCGGCATGGGGAAGACGAACGAGCGGCGATTTACGAGGCCATGATTACGTTTCGCGCCGGAATGCCCACTGCCCGCACAACCCATTGGCCATTGTACGCAAAGAGATACGCGAACCGATAGGAGATCTTATACAGGACTGACAACGTGTCTACGAAGTGGCGAGGACGGAGGGCGAGATTAGCGAGAGGGTGTCCGACGCGCCGCTGAGCTAGTGGAAAATAGCGTGACGCCTAGCGTGAGGCGTCGTCTTGTCCGGCTTTATTTCAACCGACGGACTCCACCCCCGGAATCAACGGGATGGAAATCGGATCGGAGAACCGTGAAATAACAGCCGCGGCGACGCGCGGAGCCCGCTTCTTTCTGGATCTGCATCGGCGCCGCCAATCAATTTCCTTGCGCCCGGCCGATACAACAAACAATATTTTTTGCCGAATTACACCGACGATCATGGCGCTCCTCGACGAGTTCCGAAGCGAATGCGAAAGGGTTATTGTCTGCTTTCGGTTCTCACAACTCTGAAGATCCTGGTTCCTTCAAATCCTATATATCTCAAATTGTCTTAAACCCTACATCTAAGTATATGTAACAAAACGCCCATTGGAATTTTTTTCAATATCAGCTCCCTCGTATCTCGAATTATACATGCCCCAAAGAACGTCACTTATCTTACTAAATTACGATGATGAAGAAGCGATGAAGACAAAAAAAGATTACGAAACTATTATACTGCGCTCTGACAAAATGACTCATACGAATATCACAATTATGATTGAGGGAATAAGAGGGAGGGAGGGAAAGAGAGAGAGAGAGATACGCCTACCCAATATTAATTCCCAGCAAAGCTTTAAGATCATTAGACACGCTATGTTTCAAGTACCTGAATTGAAGCGGTGTGTAGGTAATCAAAGACCCGCGTGTTAAACAGCAACGGCTCATCGGATTCGTGTGCTACAGTAGTACGCATGCACGTAGTGCGCGAGAGGAATACGGTTGTACGGATTGTATCGCACGTGAGCACGCGATTGTGAATATCAATGCAGCCACGTGAAGTATAATGTTTTCATTAAAACTTACCAGCGTTATTAGCTGCTATGCTAATACGAACGCGAGATGTTACCGCAAGAAGATAGATCGCCGCAAAGTAGAGTAGTCGACAAAAAGAGAAGCGGATGGTAATCAGAGAGGAAGGGGGAGAGAGAAAGAGAGAGAGGGAAGTGGGGGGGGGGGGTAGAAACGAGAAGAGACGAGGAAAAATGATACTCGAGTAATGGTAATCCACTTAAATCCACGTCACCGTCCATCAGTATCAGTCATTAAACATAATAGAAACGTCGGACGGCAATTTTATTCCCATCTGCGCCTTCGTTTCACGGTCTTCACAAAAGTCGTCGTGGCATTACAAAATCGTCTAATTACGCGTTTCAATATCCCATCCGCCGAGGGCGGAATCTGGTTATGCGTTACCCAAACACCTGCTCCTTAACGAGGAGAGGCCTTAATAAGAACGTAGCGTCATCAAGTTCTAGGTAAGCGAGTCAATCAGCCACGCCTGACGAACCGGAAAGGATGGCAGAGCGGTACAACATACACATACGCGCGCACACACACACACACACACACACATACATACGATGACCGGAGTAACATCGCCCTTATCCTTTGAAGCTAACGACCTCATAAACCAAAGATCGGCCGGTTACAGATACACGCGAGCCGCACGCTCTCGTTTTTCATTTTCTTTCCCCGCGTGAAAAGGTTTCGAGAAATATCGCGAGATATCGAGCGGAAATTCCCTCGTGAATTATTCCCTCGAAACGCGCAGCGTTTAGCGTTAACGCCCGGCGGTTACACCGCGAGCGTTGAATTTATTAATCACGTAAACACGATGCGCACCAGCGAATCGGGAATATAAAAAAGGGAAAAAACACAAATCCAATTTGCAATTCCGCAGTTCGGGCGGAACGTTCAACACCGAGCAACGTAATCGACGAGGCGCGAAAACATATCGTTTTACAAACTTCCCACGGTTACTTCCTATCGCGACGCGCGATCATAAATGTCAATTAGCGGCATAATACCACGCAAACGTGAGAACAGCGCCAATTTAACCGCTTTTACGCGCAACGCGTCATTATTTCTGCGGTTATGCGCCGGAGCGTTTCCAGATGCTTCTAATTATGGCGGCAACCGAACGCTTAACGAATACGCGGCGCTTTGTCACGCACGAAGAATCCGTCCGGTTGGCCTAACGATACACGTCGACTTTCGTCGAATCTCGTCGCGGTAATCTCGAAATTCAGAACCCCGCTTTTACGGTCGCGTCCCGTGCGATTCGTGCCGATATCGCGCGCTCGCCAGAACGTAAATATTGAAATATAAGGGTTTCGATTTCATTCCGGTTTCGACCGAAATTGGGAAAAATTTTTGGTGTAAACTGAAACCGATCAACACATCGGTCAGAACCGATGCGGCGATTGCCGGGAACTCTCCCTCCGTCACTGTAAGACATATTCCATTTCATACAAACGTATCTAATCATAAGTTTCCAAAAAGTCTATGTTTGTAAAAACTGTTATTTTATCATTCTCGGTTTTTTATATCCATTATTAAAGCCACCGGAATCTTCAACGCTCTGTTTAATAAAATTTAACATAGTTACCACACGCACATTACAATTTAATAAAGTATTATACATATTTTTGTCATGAAATTCATTTTCCTTCGAATTTTTCTAAAAATTTCCGCCGAAGTTTTGGTTTCTGACAAAAAACCGAATGTTCGTTTTCGATCTCAGCCGACGACTGAAAAGGGTGATTTCGGTCGGGAGTTCCCTATTGTCTGGGGGGCAGATCCGACCAAACTCATCCTTCAGGTGAGGTTCGATCGAAAAAACACGGACACGTCGGTGTTCTCCCGTCTAGTTAATTAGCAAGGAAAGCAGTCGGAAACAATGCAAATTACACGGACGCATAATTCCGAATGACGGAGAGAGCTTTGATAATGGGACGCTCTCGCAATGTTGGCCACGCGCCTTCTTTAACTCGGTTACCGTCGCCGGGCGCTCACGGCCGGCGCATGTGAAATACCGCGTGCCGCCGCCGCGCCTTTGTTTTACTATCTCGAATTTTTGTACGGCACGTTTGCGGAATGCCACATGCCTGAGCCGTCTAATTATATTTCGTTCTTTTGTAAAAACGAGCGTTTTTTGCCCAGGCATCTCGAAAATTACATCTCGACTGTTTCCCCGTTTGTTTCGTCCGTGCATACGCGCTCACGTATGTGTGTGTGCGTATGTGTACTTTCCCAGCGACACTCATCACATCCGCACTCGCGAGATTTTATAAAAGCCGTGCGATATGCGCGCTCAGACTTTTTATGAATCGTGTACGCTTCTACGTTGGTGTCTTTCAGGCGTTCCCCGTGTTCGTATTATCCGTGGGATCCTCGCGGTCGTGGCGGAAAATATAGCTGTCTAAAAAACCAGCGATATTTTACGCACGGAATAACGGATACGACGGCATAGAGAGGCGTCGTAAAATTGGAAGCAATTAGTCTCCGATCCCTTTTTGTCGCAAATTGGAGTATCTGCAAGGTACGTTCTCGCCTGTGAAATAAAGAATAGCCTTATCGCCGGACGGTCGTCCGTCGACCTGGCATACCACGGGGACGTTAATGTAACCACCACGATCAGAATCTTCGTATATTGCTTTTAGCTATTATCCACGCTGAATCACGAGAACGCGAACGTCGCGAGGCGAGGCGAGCCGAGCAAGGCCGCCGGGCCGCATCGGCACTCGCTCGGAAAAACTTTAATTGCGACTGTGTGTGTGTGTGTATGTGTGTGTGTAACGATAATACGGGCGCGCGCGCGCGAAAGAGAGAAATCTTGCTGCGAAAAGCTCACGGAAATGGCGAAAGCCGAAAAACGTGAGTGCACGCGCGATGGGGAGGCGGCGAGCGCAAAAAGAAAGAAACAACAAAAAAGAAAAAATAAAGAGGGAGAGAAAAAAGGAATTTCCCGCTCTCCCGCGACGCGCACTGCGGGGCGCGATGCGAAACCGCTAACGATCGTTTCTCTCCATTTCGCGGCGTGGCTAATGCCACCAAGCTTTCGCATCGCGCCTGGTTTCCGCATCGCATGCGTGCCATCACGCTGCTGACTGACAAACAAGCCGAATGATTGCCGCCGATAAGGAGTCTATTATATCGCCGAAAAATATCGTACCGTTATCGCTCCGAAGAGAGATCTCACGACACGTATGATTCGTGTAACGAGCAGCTTGAGCTTTGCGGAATCGTTTCGATTGCATTCCGTTTCGATTTTCCGCGTTGAAGCGAGTCTGCACGAGGAAAAATCAACTTTGCCGTTGCAGCGAAACCGTTGCTGTTATCCGCATATACGTTGCGACAGCAATAAAATTTAGCTGGCGCAATCGAATTAGAGAATTATTCGTAATCGGAGCGGAAACAGTTTTGTTGCCAGAATAGGAAATATTCTGCTGAGTGAAGCTGTCCTCGGAATACGTTAATTTGCCGTTAGAACGAAACAGCGTTTTCCTACATCGACTAATTTGTGCTTACAGTAAAATAATTTATAGATTCAATCAAGTAATCAAACGAATGGCAATTAATGTTCTTAACGAATCGTTTCACTGCCTAGTAACAGATTTCATTACAACGGCATATAACATTTGCTATGTACTAGGAAATTATTTCTCTCCGTATGCAGTATTAATTAAAACATGTACTAAATTGTATTAAGATCTGTGGTCAGTATTTACGAAATATCTCGCCCCGTAATGGGGACGCAATTAGTATTATATTCAAAGGAACGTGGAGACACAGGAGAGAAGACATTGAATGTGTGTTGTATATATGTGTGCGCGCGTGTGTGTGTGTGAGATAGAGCGTGTTGCGGAAATTTTCTCACGCGCGGTTAAGCGATCCGCGCATTTGATTAATGCGAGGGTTTCGCCCGGGCATTGTTTCAGAATTCCGAAATATCGCTGTTCGAGACGAATATTCGTTTCATGGGAAGCCTGCTCGCCTGTTACGCTCTCACGGGGGACGTGATGTTCCGGGATAAGGCGGCGCAGCTCGGCGAACGGATGCTGCCTGCCTTCCAGACGGAAACCGGAATTCCTCATTCTCTCATCAACCTCCATACCGGGGTAAGTGCAGGCTTTTCGTTGCCATAACTCGCCACCGCTCATACCGACGCAACGCACCCGGGACGGGTTCGATGTACTTCGATATTAACTTAGTTCGTCTCTTCCTCCCCATAAAAAAAAAAAGCCCTCTCATTTACCGTACTGGAGAATAAAACAAGAAATCACGCGGATATATAATATTACAAACTCTCATACAGGCTGTGTCAAAATCACTAATGCGTGCCTTTAATAAACGCTGTTAAAATGAAAGCCGAGAGGCAAGATTTAGCCTGAAATATCTTTTAGATCATCAACGTAATTTTCTCAACGTTAAAAATCAGAAATAACGACGAGCGATAGTCGCGAAATTTTTCCAGAGGAAAGATCGCCTCTCAATTCGTTTCAACGAAACGATCATCTAATTGATAATAATATTCAAATATCGGGAATCTATAAAAACAGTGTACGTCCGAAGTGCTGATTGCCGCAAACATCGATTTGAGCATCTGTGATATCTTGTTTTCGTTAATCGAGTTTCGATGGAATCGTTTCCAATTAAATATTTCGACACACGGATATCCATGTGAACGAACAGATGGAAATTTATTTATGCGGTCAAAATGACGATAAAAATACCCGACGGGACGACCTTGCGTACTTGGCCTCGCAAATCAACTCGCTATGATCCTTTCATTAGCGAGCGATACGTTGATCCTTTCGTATGAAACGCGCGATATAAATGCGAATAAGTACCACCATTACGGCGCGCTCGTACGATTAATATAATTTAAAAAGGCTATCTCAGAAGTGTGCGCGCGCGCGGCGTTTCCGTTTTTGCGCGCTTCTTGTCAGGCATTGCACGCGGCAACGATGTTGCGCTTTAATTGAAACGATTCCATCAAGTCACGTCTGTCGAAATGGCGGGGCGCGATTAATATGCAAATTCTTAATTGGATGGATAATGAGGCCGCAGGAGGCGGGTACACGGCCTTTGACTTCCCCTATGATGGACGATATTCCAGCTCGCATCCGTTACTTTGCGTCTTTTTCTTAACTCCCGATCCGTCTCGATCGTTCGACAATGAGATAGCGATCGAGCGATTATCCAAATATAAACTAACCGAAGGGAAAAATGTCCGTCGTGAAAGTGGCCGATTGATTTTAATACGTAAGAGAAGCTCGGTCATGTTCGGCATCGGCACAATACAGACAAAAGCTAATTTTACTAATGGTGTATTGAATTATTGATTAACGTTGTTCCGAAATTTGTAGGCTATTAAAATAAATGAATCAATTATAACGACTATAATTGCAGGAACAATATTGCGAATAATGAGAGGTAAATGAGAGTCGTGGTGTCAGCGAAATCGTCGCTGCTGCAAGATCGATATATTACAAGGTGCACCACTTTGCTTTACTTGTCTTTACACCCTGTTTATCTTACCATGATTCGAAGAGAATACGGCCGCAAGTGCGTATAACGATATCGATTTCTATAAAGAGCACGTCCGCGATCTGCGAATGCTAAGCGCGAAGGAGGAAAAACCTTTGTAATTACAACGATCGTATAAATTGCCTCGCGGCCGAGTGATTCACGGCTGCAGCACGCGAGTTGAAAGCGTAACAATTGCAGCGTGTGGCGAATCTCGCATGCAGCCTTACTGAAACGAAGTGACAAGCAGGGCGCGCAGAATGCAGCGGGGCGAGAAAATGAGAAATGGGAGGGAATCGGATTTAATTACGGCGCGACACGTGCGCGCTCCGATTGACCCTACTCGCTTGATGACTTCATAATTCGTATTAGCGTCCCTTAACGGGCGTGGCTAATTGCCGGATGTTAACGTGTCCTCACCTCCGGGGCTACGAATGTCATAATTTTCCCGTCGACTTCGAGTGGCGCGAAAGAAAACGCACGACGGAGAGCCGTTTGTTGAACATTTCATATCGTGACTTCGTTCCGACGTATTTCGATAAAGCTCGCGTGATTTCACATCCGTGAAGGAATAAAAAGAATACAGTACGCGACGGTACTTCTGCCATGCTCTCACAGTTATATACCACAATAAATCACCGGTAAGAATGTTCGTTGAAATACCTCTGATCGCTCAAATAAAACAGAAAGAACCGGCGAAGCGGTGAAAGTTATGGTAAGAAGCTCGTGATTTGTTATATGCGCTCTCTACGAACGTATTAATACTTTTTTTTTTCTCCGTGTCTTCCTTATTTATAATAAAAACAGAAGTAATAGGCATCCAATCACGGGAGAAGAGAACGAGCTCCCACAGCTAAAAACCGCACAGAAAATAGCTGTTCTTTAAATCTGCTGTGGGAGCTAGTTTTTTTAGCGCGGAAGCTGGATTCTTCTTTCCCGTTTGGAAACGCACATCGGGAGCCACCCTCAAGTCTCTTCACAAAAATTGTATACCACCCTTGACCTATCTCACGCATACCGGCCGCGCGCGATACGTTCGAGCTAGAAAGTTGCATTTATTTTTCAGGCCAGCAAGAATTACGGTTGGGCGAGCAGCGGTTGCAGTATTTTATCCGAGATCGGGACGATGCATCTCGAGTTTACCTATTTGAGCGATATAACGAATAATCCGGTATTCAAGAGCAAAGTCGAGAACGTGAGAAAGGTCCTGAAGAATTTGGACAAGCCGAGAGGGCTCTACCCGAATTACATTCATCCGAGAACAGGCAAATGGGGTCAACGTAAGTGACACACGTCTTGACGTTTTCCATCGAAATTAGCTTGAAAGATAATTAGCGAAACCGCTAGAAACCGTCTCGCAGCGAAATCCAAACGCGAAAATATGTCGTCGTGGAGTTAATAGCGTTATTATCCTCCATCGCGTCGTTGTACACGTGTGTGTTGTACGCGCGTATGCGTGCGAGTACGTGTGCAACATGGCAACCGGCGTTTTCGCGTTCGCATTCACGGTCGAAAACCTCCCGAGGACACCGAAGGGAGAGCCTTCAGTCGAGCCGATGTCGGACGGATATAAATGCCAGCCGGTGGCTTATTACTATAATTTCACATTTAATAAATCTCTTCGGGCCGCGCCTCGCGCGAAATAGATTTTTAATCTGACGGCTATCAATTGCACGGTCGAAATAGTTTTTCGCATAGCTGCGGGCTCGGCGCGAGAAGTCCGCGCCTTCGATCGCGAGTTTTTTCGCTATTTCGCATCGCACAACGTCGCGCCCGCCTCGCGGAGAAGACGTCGTCCCGGATGCCGTCGACGCCGCTGTCGCCGTAGCCGATCTTGAATATCGCATTTATCATCCTCCGCCTCGGGTCCTGAACCTCCCCCCGCCCCGTCCTGCGCGTACTTTCTCATTGCACGTATGACGATCCTCGGGGATATATATCATCCGGGCCGTTCGGTATCTGACCTCATCGCGCATCCTTCCCACGTTTTTCACACGGCTTCGCTCCGGTGGACATCCATATCGCGAGTGCACCACCGGAGGAAGAAAGACCGCTCGGACCGACGGATAACGGCGGTGCTTCTGATAAACAAAACGCGAACAAATACGAGATCGACAATAGTAGAATCCACAATAATCAAAATGTACAAATATTGAGTTGCAAAAGTTCGTTCTGTTTTTCGATCAGTTTTTCGCTCGAAAAGCCCGAAATTTCTACGAGGGCGGGGTGGGGTCATGCAGCTACCGAAGAGATAGCAGGTTATTGGACAGAATAACATATATTTAATTGAATGATCGTATTTTAAAATAAATAAATGTTATATGTACATTTTGATTATAAAGCGGAACGAACTTTTGCATCAGTGGTTTCGTTGATTCATTAATTACGAGTGTCAATGCAATTACGCGGATAAAATCTACCGTCGCGCCAAAACGCGATTCGTTCATTCTATACTTCGAGCAAAACCGCCACATAATTTCAAGAAAAAACTCCGTTTCCTCCCCTCCCCATTTTTCTACGGGATTTCTTTAGTTTCGGTCTCGAAAGTACAAAATTTCGTTTAGAAAAATTAATGTTTATTCGGGTGAAATTTGTCACATTTACTTTTTCTGTAAAAAAAATATACGAGGAACGAAAAATCTGCGAAAAAATTGGGAGAAAACGGTTTTTTCCGAAACTTTAAAACTATAAGTAAATGTCCACTTATATGAAGGAAATATCATATTATATATAGTCAATTATATTTCTACTTCTAGTAAATATTCACCAAGGAGTGTCGGAGTAACCATTTTACTTGAATTAAGTAAATATTATTTACAACGATAGCACCTTTTTCTTTCAGCGCAGTTTTTCATACGAGCGCTTCTTCCTATAAACAAAGACCTGCGACGTTTATTATTGACCACGCGTTTCTTTTTATAAAACAGCAGCGACTCCCAAACACCGTGTTTCGTGAGAAAAACTTCTCCACACCGGCATATCTCTGAAGTGTGACTTCTCGTCATTAAATTATAATTATCATTCGTTTAACAAGAGCTCAATCTCGTATCGCTCGACTGACCCCGGCGCATTCTCCCGCGGTAACGTTCTTACCGAGTTCTGAAAGAAATAGTGATCAAAGAGATAAAGCCGAGCTGTACTTCCTTTCGTCGCGAACCTCACATAAAGTGGATACCGTGTTCTCTTAGCTAACTCAAGGAACCTAAGAATTAGCCCTGTAGAAATCAAGGTCTTCCCTTTGTTTCACCACCCTCAGACGTGGTCGAAGTAGCCCTCTAGCGCGGATAACAAACCCCTTCTTACCGGGGGAAAGATTCTTCTAGCATTCCTTTATCTTGCAGCGACTATCGCTGTTGTCTGTTTTAAAGCGGTATCTCTTTTAAAGCATTGGAACGGCCCCTTTCCTTCTGTACGGCAAAGCCAGCCCCACCTCGTAAGTTGAGAATCTTTAATTCCACTCCAGCGAGAAAGGAACTGGAAACAAGAACAATCGGCGAACGCGCTACAGATCTTCGACCTTTTACTCGAGAAGTATCAGTTACTTTATATCGTGTCGCTATCGTCAACTATACCTTTTTTGATTGTAAATTATCTCGAGCCTGAGAGCTTAACTCTCAACATCGGAGTGGTTATTATTAAAAATATTTTTCTTTCATCCTCTCTTATTCCTTTCTTTTTTTTTTCAAATAAACCTTTCTAATAGCAGCAATTTTATCCCCAATTTTCTTTATCCTATATTTTTATTTATCCATAGTGCGAAAATTCTACTCCCGACATTTCCGTCGCAAAATAGCCGACTCGAAGTTATTAAAAATCTACACGTAGGAAAAAACGCGGCTCAAAGATATATCTCGGGAGGAAACGTATCGCGCGTTCTCGCGGAATTCGCATGGAATTCATTTACAACGGAAATATTTTCGTGGAAATTGCAGATCATATGTCGCTCGGCGGACTCGGTGACAGTTTCTATGAGTACCTGCTGAAGGCGTGGATCCAGTCGGGCCAGGAGGACGTCGAGGCACGTGAAATGTACAATGAGGCCATAGCCGCTATAACCGAGCACATGATCAAGACATCCCCCGGCAAACTTGTATATGTATCGGACTTGAAATACGACAGGCTCGAACACAAAATGGGTCACTTGGCTTGCTTCGCCGGTAAGGTTTTTACACGCATTAACGGTTATCTCATTAGCGTTTTATACTGCAATTGTACACAGTAAAAAATTTCATATTACACAACCGCCCAAATTCTTGTGTTAACCTTAATATGGTGAATATGTGAAAAAATAATATGTTAACGAGGTGAATAATGTTAATTTAATAGATTTGTATGCTTTTTAACATATTCGCTCCATGTTAAAGTAACAAAAATTTAGGTGAACCGTTTGTAATACAAATATTTTACCCTGTAGCTGGAAACGATATCAATCGTTAGAATGAATCAATCATGAGTCACAGGACGGTTGCAATACTTTTTTTTCGATGAGTTCTACAACGCATCTCGTGTCCAATATTGGAAAATTTATCTCCAGGAAAACGTGTCTCCCGAGAATTAGTAAAAAAACGAATTCTCTTATTGGATGAGAGACGCGTTCCGAAACTTACAGAAAAAAAGTTTTGCAACAGTCCTGGGACTGTACATCTTCCTTCCCAGATTTTCTATTTATTTCTAATCGACCATTGTCCAAATTCACGCGACGCCATTCCAAATAAATTATTTCTTCAATCGTAACTTTACGTTCGAAAGACGAAGTATCTTTGTATTAATATATCCCTAAAAAGCGGAAAATTCAACAAGAGCGATAACGTTACCGACCTGTTTTATAGGCGGCATGTTTGCTTTGGGAGCTAATACTCTGAAAAATGAGATATCCGATAAGTACATGAATATCGCCGCCGGTCTGACGAACACGTGTCACGAGTCCTATGATAGAAGCGTCACGAAGTTAGGCCCGGAAGCTTTCCACTTTATCGAGGGCAACGAGGCGAGAAGCTTAAAGAATGGTGAAAAATATTACATCCTGCGACCCGAGGTAAGAATCGCTCCTCCATTCGTTCGAGATTAAATTTACTTGAATTGTTTGATAACACGTTACTACAGAAATCTCTTTGGAAACGGCGCCAAAAATTTCGTTGTTTAAAGCCGCGCAGAAAAATAGCCACACCTTCATCATTACATTCGGTACGATTCCCGTGTTCTCCTTGTTTACGGTCATCGAAAAATTGCTTATGCAACTTACAGACGAGATTATATGTAAAGAGCATGAATAAATAATCGTTCCTTTCTTTATTTCCCGTGAAAACAAAGCCGGTGTAATCTGCCGGACGATAAAACAAGATATACTTCCCCGCAGACGTTCGAGTCGTACTTCGTGATGTGGCGGTTAACAAAGGATCCAAAGTATCGCGAATGGGGTTGGGAGGCGGTTCAGGCACTGGAGAAACATTGCCGGGTTCCCGGGGGATTCACGGGACTTAACAATGTTTACCTGGCCGACTCGGCGAAAGACGACGTCCAACAAAGTTATTTCTTTGCTGAAACATTGAAGGTAAGAGGAAACGGAGCATCGTTTTGATTCAACTTACGTTACTTCTCGCAAAGACTTAAACGTTTACTATTTACACCTTCCCGGCAGCGCGGTGTCTCGCGAATTTACATTTGGTTTGGTTCGCCGTTTAGTATCACTTACTAAACTTTTGTTTCTCTTTAAGACCGAATGATCTAACGCAATTATCCGGGGTATAAATCTTCAGCAAATATCTATAATAATATAACTTTAGTTAACGTCTCATCTTACCGGGGAAATCTTGCCGTTTATGAAATACTCTTCTATCGTCTGCAAATTGTCATTTAGCCTTCTCCGCCATCAAAGACACTTTAGTACGAAGAGACGGAAATATGGCGTTCATAAAGATGTAATTGGTTGTAAATGATGCCGACTTTTCTATGACTTTTACCATTCAGTTTAATTGACATAAAATTAATCTAACTTTCCATACATCGTGTACTAAGCTTGACAACGTAACGATAATATATTCTTTTTAATCTGATTATATTTGGAGAAAAGAAAATAACAAGTGTAGCACCCGATGGGAAAGCGTTCCAATAGCGTTATTAAAAGTTTTGACCGGCACGCGATGCGAGGTCAAACGCACAGATCGTGAAAATATTTTTTGTCTTTTTGCAGTATCTCTATCTACTCTTCAGTGACGATGATCTCATAAGTCTAGACGACTGGGTATTCAACTCCGAGGCTCACGTGCTTCCCATCAAGGGCAATCCTTTGTATCGCCCGGCAACCCCCTTATAAAACGGACAAGTTTACAACAATTTACGGGCGACTCCGACTCTTCTCAGTTCGCAGTAACAGAATCGAAAGACGATACACGTAATGGATCAGAATTATATAGCGATTGCAAAACCTCACTTTGTATAAACTATGCTTAAAGCGGCATTCTGGTCAATTATTTTTATAAACTATCGCATATAGATTATAAGAAAGGATTTAACACTGCGATAAAACAAAAATGCAATTTAATCCAATTCTTGTTCAACTTAGTTTCATTCGCGTGTTTTACGTTTTAAACGTGAATCTCGCGAAATCACAATTGTAGAAACAAAATCAATTTCGTAATACACACTGTGACTAGTCCTGATTCTGACCCATTGCGTGTAATATAGCATAGTCGCGAATTAATGAGGATTACAGAGAATCAATCTGTCCCTCATCCTGATCGCGTGTAGCGAAAGATACATTTTAAATTAAAATATCTAAATAATTATTTTAGGTAAATGAAAGCGCGCGCGAGAGCGAGAGAGAGAGAGAGAGAGAGAAAGAGAGACAGAGCGCTCGAAAAAGAATGATAGTGAGAAAGAACAGAATGAAAATGTTAACGAACGTTATTTAAGCCACACGTTTGTAAATAGCAAAAAAAAAGTGAGAATGAGAGAGCGAACGAGAGAACTATTAACAATGAGGAAATATGTTGTATGAATGCTTTACCCATTTCCTTTTTTTAGCCGCAATGCAAAGCGGTCCACCAATACTTAAATACGTATTCGTGACGTTATAGCTACAGGTCCTTAACATTTTTAACATTCTCTAATCATTACGATGGGAGAGTCAATGACTCAATCGCATTTCTTTCTTTTTCGTTAATAGTTCTGTTTTCTTTAGGAAAAGACGACCCTGCCAGAAATGCGCAAAAAAGCGCTTAATTAAGACTGGAAGTTTTGCCTCGTTACAATAAAAAAAAATAATAATAATATCGATTGCATTGACGAACCAAATTGTTAGTAACGCACCCACGGTATATGTATTACGAATGTGTCTCGTATCAATATCTTTCTAAGCTATCTATTTGTTCTTAACGTGTTACATCGCGTACAAATTCAGTGGATTGTCATTGTTAATTGAATACTACGTGTATAAACTGCTTTTATACAGCTGATCAAATAAGAATGAATTTTGCATTGATAGTAAAAAAAAAAGGGGGAAGGAAGAAAAAATGCCAGTGTAAACTTGTTTTGTAGTGCTAGAACTTCAAAAATAAAACTGTCAATCAATCAAAAGAAGAAAATGGAAAAAAAAGAAATAGCGATAAACGTTTAGCCGGAAACAAACGTTTAGTCAAGCCAGTGTTTCTAAAAATGCTCCTGTGCAACGTTTTGTAATGTTAACGTTTCACAAGTATCTCTTTTCGCGATTTTTATCGACGTTCTTCGAAAAGATTTTAACCACCTAACGTTTTGCTATACCCCGATCCTTCTTTCCTCCCTTCCGACAGTTAGAATTGCCGAATATAAGAAGAGAAAGAAAAGAAGCGCATCAAAAACAACTGTCATTTTCATGATTGACGGTGCGAACGTACGTGTCCCGCCCTCCCTTTTTTACATACACGGCAAACAAATCGAAATAAAATTCAATAAAATAGCCCCCCCCCCCCGGAAAGGGTGCAAATCGAAGACACGATTGCAATCGTGAGTCAGTCGAGTGGTAGTTGTAAAGCAATGTAGCAGCCGAGTAACTAGCGAAGTCTGTAATAAGAGAGGTAGACCTGTATATAAAGATATTACAAGAAAGTCATATTCTATATGAGGAGTGCGAAGTGTAGAGTGGAATTGTAGATGAAACACACCGTGTAATTGTATAGCGCTTATACCGAATGGAAAAACGGCCGATTCACGTGAATCGGCTCCTTCCGACATCAAGCAAAAACAAAATCGCAGAAAAAAAAGAGAGAGAGAGAGAGAGACAGCGATGTACGTTTCGACGGACACGTTATTTTCGTGATGTCCAAGATCGTACGTTGTAATTATAATTACTGTTGCGGGAGATCCTTTCGATAACAGCAACAACGATCAATCAATTTTGTCCTTTGAACATTGGTCACAGATAGACTCTGATTTTCTACAATCCCACGTTAAACGAGCTAGTTTTGTAAAACATTTTGCTCCGGTAAATCTGACGCAGGTGGTGTCTCTATTGATCTTCCGAACAATCAGTCAGCATCGCACTCGCCGATGATGGGGACGGCCGGAAAGTTACTTAATGTATACATAGCGCATCCTGCAGTTCTCGCGCCGCGTTATCCGCTAAGATGAGGTTCCAAAGGCCGCGGAGGCTTCGAAACGTCATCTTCAACAGAGGCGCGAGACAGAGAATATAATATACATATAGAAAGATTTATACTATGAAATTTACACAACACAAACGCGCGGAAGAGCGCGCTCACTCACTCTTTTACGTGTCCGGAAATGCTAAGCGAAATCTTTGGAAACGCAGCTACGCGTCGAGTTTAGCGCGCGCGATAGTCGATAATAATCATGTTGCCGTTTACGTTTCGCATCACCGTCGGACTTCCAAGAGGTTCGCGTGTTCTAATTGTGATGCTTGTTATACGTCAAACACAATTTCGACGATCGTCTAACGTTAAGCGTGTCTGGAGAGGAGTTGCATCAAGCCGGGGTCGGTAACTAATTTTCCCCTCCTCGAACTACGTCACACAGTTGAGATTGCGTGATCCCGGACGGAGAAACGAAGCAACTACTGCTTTTTTTATCATGATTCCCGCTCACGAATAGTAATACGTTAAATGGTAGCTTGTTGTACATTCTACATGCGTAGATCTACAATTATTCGCGTGTGAACGTCCAAGTGTACGAGTAAACCGCGATCGATCAACCATTGATGCAACTCGCTCGAGATAACTCCCACAAAATGTTGTACAACGTCTCATCCGATCAAATGCCACGGGCAAGATTCATTTTGTAACACGTCATCACAGATTATCATCCATGTTGATAACTCGGAAATCAACGAGGGATCACGGGGTGGTGGGTCTTCTTGGTTATCGACGACAGCTCGCGAAGAAAGTGTCACGTGGACGTTAGCGCGCGCACGTGGTGCGACAAGCGACCATCTCAATATTGGCGTCTTGATGTCGCCAAATTAGGAAGTGAAACCTTGACAATTTCCGGGTCGCTATTGACAACACAGTAAAAGCCATAGGCCGTGTCTATATGTAAGAATAGTGATAAACGACACTCGGAGAACAACGGCAGGAATGGCAGTATCCGGCGACGATGAGATGATAGTAATAACGATAGTCTATACATACATTTGTGAATAGATATTTAATAATTTATTGTTAACTAGAGTATTTTACTTCAACTACTTCATTGAACGGGGTTTTGGGTACAATAATCTTTTCTTACGGCGAAGACGGCACACATTTTACGATTTGCTTTTCAATGATTTGAGCGACAATGAGAAGAACGAGGAAGTGAACACAAAAACTGAACATTAGCTTTACTCGCCTCGATCTTTGTACGATGAGCGAGGGCTATGCGACAGAGAGAGAGAGAGAGAGAGAGAGAGAGAGAGAGAGAGAAAGATAAATATATGTATAAATATATCGTTGGAGAAGAAGTACGTCACACACGAAGTTTAGTCGGATACGAACTATACCTGTAAATACAGTACACAATCTAGTGATAACGGGGTTTTACTTTTAACAGCTTTACGTGATTATTACTTTGTCATGATCAGTGAAATAAATAAATATTGATAATACGTTATATATATTGCAAACTATTGTACTATTTCCGATGAACCCCTCTTCATAATTCCGTCCTAATTTCGTACGAACCGATACTGATAGTTTTTCAATCACTCTGCGCAGCACATACCGTAAAATTTAATAACGTTTCAAAGTGTATTATATATAAAAAAAAGGGCAAATAAGAGAGGAGACTTTCGAAATTCGTGTGATATGCTACTTTCAAAATAATACGCGCGTAACTATAAAATATAATAAAGATTGCGTCGCGACCATCGTTGATTACATTGATTTACGGTAATGCCGCGTCGAAGATCATTTATCAGCCGCAAGATAACTCGTAATCCTTTAAGCAGGTTACCCTACCATACCAAATCCTCGTAATGATCGCCCTATTAAGCAAATCCTTAATGACCAGCCGGAAAGCCTAAGACCTTCCGTAATCAGGATGCGGCTCTATTTTCCGGTGATTAGTTGCGAAATGCACGTGGATTACCTTCAAAGCGTTCGCAATCGTCGTGAATTCACTTAATACCGACACGTCTTCTTCTCACCTAACAGATGTGGGAGCAACAATTAAGTAACGCAACGTAACGTCGCGTTATTTCGAGAATTCGAAATTCGAAGTATTATGCACTTAATGAAATTCATGGCCATTTTGTTTAACTAATTTATCCTATCTCCCAATTCCACGAAAACTCTTCGACTGGCAACAAGTAGCATTTAATTCAAAGATATCAGGATCCTTGCACGTACCTTCACTAAGGCGCTAATTACTTATCAAAGACCGAAGACACGTATATAATCTGTGAATATTCCATCCGGAGTACCGATAGATACTTAGCTTCCTGTTGCACATGTTACTGGCATAAAAAAATAACATCCCGACCTCCAGCTTTCGGCAGAAGACTTCTCTTGATTTATCTTATAAGAAAATATGTAAAACGGAAAAAATCAATTTTTCGACCAAGATCCTGATACTCCTTAACCAATGACGATAGAGAAATCTTCGCTCTTTTTGCCCGAAATTGTCAATCGAACGCTATTCTACTCGCCGAGTAGGGCTTTCAAACGCAGCCCAGGGACGATAATTGATCGCTGCCGATTCCATCAGGTCCTCATTTTCTACATTCGCGCTGCGACTCCGCGAGACCACGCGAAAATACCGTGGATCTACGACGGGGCACAACCGCCTCCGCGGTCGACGTCGATATAGGAGGCAGTTCTAGTGGGAAGGAGCGCGGAGATAGAGGAGGAGGAGGAAGAGACACACAGAGAATTAGAGCCGGGACGATCAGTCTCCCTCGCGCGTCGCTTCGATAGCGTTCGTAAGCAGGTAATCGTGGCGGGATAATCGGGCCGCGAATGTACTGTTCACTGTTCCGTCCGATTTCTCCCGGTCGCCTCCGCGCGCGCGCTCGAAAATATCTCAAGACGAGCGGCGCTTCCCGCGCGAAATCAAGTTTCGCAAAGAGCCGCAAGATCGGGGCGGATCACAGCGATCCGGTCTGATCGATGAGATATCGCGCAAAGGAAGATTCGCGGGACGGAATCGTGCGAGCGAGAACTGCTTTGCGGTTTTATCGACCGGACATCTTCTCATATAGTTGGCTGTCGATCGGACGTTTACACGGCCCGATACACCAGATACACAGCGAATACTGGAAGAATACAATCGCTTTCCGGAGCGGAGAGTCTCTCCTCCGCTGTTCTTCTCCAGTGCCGCCGGCCTTCCGCGCTACGGCCGACGCTATTATTGCAGTACGATCTAAATTTAGACAAGAACGCGTGCTTGACGTAAATCGTGTCGCTCTTTTTATTCGGAATCAACGTGCCGCCGCCGCGTCCGCGCGGTTTACGTGCCGGCGCCCACGAAGGCACCATGAAGAAGCTCGTCCTGCAAATCCTCCTCACGTCATGCGTTCTGGGTAATGTATAATTTAATTTAACAACTTTGTCGCCCGAAGTCACACTCCCTCGATCGTGAAGTGAGAAAAAATGTGTGTCTGTGTGAAGCGAACGATTCAACATTCGATTCCGCCGTCGTCTTTCGACCATTCGATACTGCGAGACCACCACCGGCGAATTTTAGATACTCTGATTAAGTTTCGTATCCGACGTGTCCTCACGTAACTATCGCTGACAGATTCTCAAGCCCCGAAGTGCAATGCCAATGAAAACAGTCGTTTGAGACGCGTGCAACGCGTCAGATAACACGAATATAATAAAATAATAAGGAAATCGTGGCGACGTGTGGCGCCACTTAAGAGTTGGCTTAATTAAATACGATAATCCGTATTTAAAACTCTATTTATTTATTATGCATAATTGACTGCACAGTGAAAAATTTTGTGCTGAATTTAACACATTTCACGTGTTCTAAACGGTCCGCTCCAATTTTTGTGTCAATTTAAAGCAAAATGAATATGTCGAAAAGTAACACAAATATTATGTTAAGAATTAACACAGAATTAATACGTTAATCGATACTGAAGTATAAAATGCGTTATTTTAACATTTACAGATCGACAATATGTTGATATAACATAAACATAATATATTAAACTAACACACGGATATGTTAAAAATTTAACACGAAAACTTGAACAAGGACCAATTTTAACACAAGTACAAAATGTCTTCTACTAAGTGCGTTATATCGAAGTAATCAAACCAAGCGAAGCTGATGTTAAGTGTCCGGATCAGGAACCGTGAAAATTTTTTCATCACGATTCGCCAGCGAAGCAACGCGAGAAAACTACGACGACGCAACCGCGTCATGTAACAGCAGCCACATTGACAGCAATTGTTATGTTAATATCCTCGAGACATTCCCTGGAATAATAATGAATTTCGCATCCCAAGAACTCGATGAACTGTACCAGCGATGTGTAAGATATCAAAGATATCGTACTTCCGCTAATTTTCTCGCCCGGCGCACAAGTGACTTTCCTTTGTCTGTAAATGAAGCGTTTCGCGAAGAAATTCGAGCCGTTCGTTCTGCACGAGAAAAGAAAAAAGAATGATTAAGTCGAGCCGAATTATCTCGCGCATCATTGTTGTAACGTTCAAACGACGTTACGTCAATTCACTTGACGACTTGCGAGAAATTGCCCGAAGGTTAAAACGCCGGACAAAAATCTGGTCGGGTGTGAAAAATATATGCGACGTTGTCGAGTGAATGAATGCCCGTTGTAAAACGAAGCTTGAAATTCAATCACAAATTGATCCGCCCGTGACTTTTCTCCTGACCCTTTACTCGATTATACCATTTGGCGTTCTAACGTATAAACATCCCAGGCTTATCATCTAACACTATGAATGCGTCCCTCGCCAGTTAACGTAGCGCTGCTCACGTGGCGAATTATAATTGCGGACGACCGCGAAACGGCCTCACGAGCATACGGCTTTAATTTACACTTTGTCTCCCCTCTCTTGTTCCCCATATTTCTCTTGAAAATTATTTTAACCCGCGTCAAACGAGTACTGTTCCCAACAACAACAACAATGGTCCCGAAACTTGAATTATTACCCAGCGGTAAGGGGAAGATAATTAATCGCCATTCAAATAAATAATCGTGGATGCGTGATTTTGTAAAGCGCAACTCGAGCGCATTTAACTTTTAACACGATCGTATTTGGGGAAGGGGGGTGGGGACGAAGAACGCAACAATATGTTTGCGTTCGTATCAAGCACGGCCGGAGGTTATCAACGAGTTAAGTTCAATGTCATATCCTCTGCAGCTGTCATAAACGGCCACGCAACGCTCCGTACCTTCCTACGAGGTTGGCGCGATAATCTATTACGATCACGATGTTTAACACCGCTATTGTTTTGCTACTTCCGGGCGCACCTAGCGGTAACGTCATAATGCATCATTCGCACTCTTCAACGACGTATATCGGTATCGATCAATTATCCATCGATTACGTAAGAAGCGAGATCTCTTCGATTAGAACGTAATGCGGATAAAAAGTGAAAACACGCGCAACGCTATTGTTTCGAAAGTTATTGACTCGAAGAATCGAATATGAGAATGTCGGCTCGCAAAACATGTGGATTTTACAAAAATGCCGCGTGCGTCTATTTTGACGCTGCTTTATATTTATACACGTTGCCGTCATCTATCTAGAAAAAGCTTTTCCGATGAAGCACAGACATATACGTCATCTTTCGCGTTATCCCTAAAAATTGCGCTTTTAAATAAAGCGCGTGACGTTAAAGGTAAATTTCTAGGAGAAACTATGAAGCTTCTCACACTGTGCGAAGATAAATCATTTCTTCTACGAAGGTACACTGTTTTAAACATTTATATTAGATTTAATAATCTGCGAAATTTTTTTACATAACCAAGTTATGAAAATTAATGACCAAATTGGTATTACATTTAATAATGCATAGTTATGAAAAGACATATTCTGAATCTACTCTTCGTAATTGTAACAACTTATAATATAGCTTATCAGTCCTCACAATTGTGTTTCCTAATTTAGTAATACTATTAATAATTTGTATTCTATCGTTTCTAAATTATTACATCATTATAAAAAGTGGATTTAGAATATGTCTTTTCATAACTATACGTTAATAAATGTAATATCATTTTAGTTATTAGTTTTCATTATTTAAAATTCATAATGTAAAAACCTTAATAATAAGATTATTAAATTTAATATGGATTTCTCTAACAATGTGTATTTCTTCTTACCCGGAACATGTAACGAGCGAAGACGCCCGACGCTTCTGAGGCGTCCATACATCAGCCCGTCGCGAAGTCGATCGCGAGGTGGTCATGCACACATCGTGTCGCGGCGACCACTGAGATTCGCGCAAATCGCTGTCAAATTCTGTATTATTAAATATTAAAACAATTCTAATATATCATAACGTGTTATAACTGAATATGAAAATTAAACAACAACTTATATAATATAAGACGGAAAAATGTTAAGTTTCGTGTTAGTTTCTCGATTTTATAATGAATATGAAATATCATGATTATTTTATAACTAATAACATTGGTATTGTGAAAAAATCTTCAGTTATAACATTTAAGATTCTTAAATTTACTAACAAAAACGCTATTACTTTTAAGAACTTTTTTATCGATATGTACAGAATATCCGAAAGAAATCGCGATAACTACCAGTCGACGGGAATTTGACGAGTAAAAATCTTCACAGCAATTCACAGCAATAATCCGTCGGCTGTCCCATGAAACTCAAGTCAAAATACCGGGTGTCATCTTTGGACCAGCATCCAAAAGTTTAATTTCGTCGGCACGTCGGCGACGACGTGCGGCGCACATGCGCGTATAAATTCGGTTGCGTGAATTTTCTCGGACAACGTAATACCCCCCGTTGCTTCGTGTAATGTAATAAACACTGGAATGTGGCTGCGATCGCGCGGTGAACGCACCCCAAAGAAGACGCAGGCAGGTTGGCCTATAAATAACGAAAGTTTGCGGTCGCGCCGGCGCTTGAAACTTCAGTCGTCGAAAAGTGCTGGGTCAGCCGTAAACCGCCGATTCATCAGCCGCGATCCTTTGCGCGAACGGCACGATTATTCGTGCCATTATACGTATGTATCGATTCGACGTAACGTGAAGAATATCGTGTAATTAAACGAGCAAGAGTCACTTGTCGATCGCGTGAACCACGTTTTAAGTTGTCAATCCGATATGGCGCAGCAGTGTATCAAAGATCTCAATCGTATTTTAAGCTCGATCGAAGCTATACAGTGACTGCTCTGTGCTTCTGCATGCGTACTTAATCGTAGTTAGGATGAGTTAGCTGTCATGAAACGCGTGTTGTTTAATCAAATAGCGGCCATCAAAGCAGGCGCCACATAAATCTCTCTCACGACTTCCATTTATACGAGTACGATGTAGTCCGTCGATTGATTTAGCAGAAACACAGAGCATGGCGATACTTCACGAGCTGATGCGAAGAAAGTCGGCACGATAGTCAATACTTGCGATACGGATTATCAAAGTAGCGTCTTGCGGGATTCAACGGGAGTTGTTTACGCGCCTGGATTCTTCGCTCCTGAATACGATACGCGCCGGTTTACTATGAGCGAGCTTGCAAATTCGAGCCAACTATGCGTAGCCGGCATAGTGAAGATGCCTTCGCAAGTACGAACATAATAAACGTCAATAACTTCAACACTTTCCGACCCTCCCCCACGTAACGTCTGCAAATTCGATACCTCAAGACCGAAATCGAACCTGAGTTTCTCTTTGTTTTGCACACGATGAGAGAAATCAATTTATCATACGGATCTTTATGACGACTTAAATTTTGGAAAAATTTTTATATTAGAATATTTTATGAGAAAATTTGTAAAAATGGTTGCGCGTTCGTTTCGTCCTAAGAATCATTGCTCCGAAGATCGGTAAGAGTCTTGCGGGCAATCCCGAATTGTTAATCATTTGATATGACTTCGATAGCAGGTCGATTGGCGACGGTGCGAAAGACAGGCCGAAGTTTTCGCGACCATTAATCGCTTAGAATAGACGCAGCTATTAATACGCGTAGAATTTTCGGACCACATGTTGCGACGTCGAAAGTCAAAACAACGTAGGTGTATCTAACCGTTACGTACCACCCCAGATTATTACTAGTATGTTCTATCATTTTTCTTTTCAATTTGCGAAATTGTGCGGCAAAATTCAACGAACTTCGCGACTACGAGCCGTTGTTGATACAAGCGGAGTTACGATATATCTTGCGCGGAATTCGTTTTTGTAAATTATTTACGATAAGAGAGAAATACTTTATGCGTGCATCAAACTTAATTAAGAATGCTACGCGAAACTCCATCGAAAATGTATTACATCCTATATTACTATTACATATGCATTATTAGTTTTTTGAATGTTGATATTTTGTCACTCACCAAAAGCGCAACGAAATCTATCAAAGT